GCACGTCGAACGCTCAGATCGTTCAAATCGTTCAAATCGCGCTTGAGGCACCGCAGCCCTTCCCGATGCTGATTGAAGTGCGTCCACCACAGACTTTGTATGTAAACCTGAGGCTCCTGATGCTGAAATCGCGTTTGGTGTTAACGCACCATAATTCTAAGAAGTTTGATAAATACGGGCCCTCCGGCCCTGGTCTACAAATGTCTCATTCCTCAGTGGYCCAAAGTCCTTGTTTAGGTAGAAGTCATWTGTAAATCAAGCTCCCAGAGTCTGRAGGAATAATGGAGWGAAACAGAAACCACGTTGTTGAAGTCCCGCGTAAAGTTTTCATAATCTGTGATGGTTTCAGGTGCCGTGTCATCTGCTGCTGTTGGTCCACTGGGTTTTATCAAGTTCACAGTCAACGCAGGACATTTCAGAGCACTTCATGCTTCTTTCTGCTGACAAGCTTTGTGGAGATTTAATTTTTAAGCCATTACAATCGAAATTACAAGAAATAAAGRCTTGAAATATGACCCTCTATGTGTAATGAATTTACATAATATGAGTTAGGCTTGGGCGGTATAAAGGTATTTTGTTTTACCGCAGTATTAAAATGTGACGATGGGATGAGTCACGTGAGGCGAAGTGGCAAATTTCCACAAGGGGACATAGACATTTCAGAAGATGCTCTGTGAAAAACATGCATACTGATGCATGTTCTGACCAATTATTATTAATATCACCCAGCTCTAATRTGAGTGTCACTTTCTGATCTGACCGACACAATATTTTAACTTTTTGAGCAGCACCTGCGTTGTACTTCCATCACATCACATCCACAGTAACATTACTCAAATACAATTTACAGTTCTTCTCCTCTATAGGGCAAAATATTTTCTGAATATTGTCTTATAGTTATTAGGATGTTAAAGCCCACAGACTGTAAAGCAGTGCCAAATTTCTGTGTCAATGTTAAAGTTAGCTTTAATGAAAAACAAAGTAATACAAATAAATGTTCTCACACGTGGAAATGTTGTACAGTACGGTGGAAGTGGGTGGAGTTGAAATAAGTGCGCACAGATCTGAAGTGAGTCAGATGCTTCAGATCTATTCACCTGTTAAATTTAACCCAGAAATACACGGACACCTCAGGCAAAGAAGTTTTGTTACTTTTTCAAAGGTGATCGTACACAGTCTAAGGCGAGGAACCAGAAGATCCAGCAGCTGGAGTCACGGTGTGATGAAGAACAAGGTGATCCCAGCCTACGGTTGTGAGAGCGGTGGAGCTCTCGTGAAGCCAGCAAACACCTTTGACAAAGTCCCGGTGCCGCCGATCTCTGAGCCTGCAGGGAAAACACAAAATGAGTTTGTATATTTTGTGGTTCAAARACTGAAGTTTGTGTTTTTATCTGGAGTGTGAAGACTCACATTTCTTGCAGCTCAGCGTTCATAACGRCGAGGGAGCAGTCGTCACTGGTGGAGGCCAGTAACACAACACTGAAATGAATCAAAATGTTACAACTTTGCCTTTACAGACAAATTATCAACACGTCAGTTTATTTATATGGCACATAAAAACAACAGAAGTTGACCAAAGTGCTTCACAATTCAACAACAAAGACACTAGAGATGCAAACAATTAATCGACTTACGATTAATTGTGGAATAATGGTTTATTAGATTAAAATCAGTTCCAATTGATTAACTGATAACGTCTGCCAGCACAGCTCATGGTCCATTTAAATCGCTCTAACTGGAAAGTTACGCCTTCTCTGACCCTGGATTTACACTACATGCGTCTCCGCTGCGCTGCGGTGCGCAGTTCGCAGCTGTTCGTTTGTGCCCCAATTTATACAGTGTCCGTTGCCCTCAGCTCCGCTCCGGTCCGACACACAGAGGAGGGAGGGTGTGCAAGAAGGAGATCGCGTGATAAATTCAGTGATAAGTGTGGAAGTCAGAGCAAAAAAAATAATTAATTCTGTGAAAGACGAACTCCAAACAGCTGAAAACATTAATATAAAGGCTTTTGATATCTATGGTTGAAAATGTATCGCTGTCGTCTTTTTTAAACTTCAAAATAAAATCCAAGTGTATCGTGTGTGTACACCAATGCTTTATGCTACATGTTTCCATCTGCTTCCCAAACAGAACGATACATTCTGACAGCATTTGTGTAGAAATATATCCATATATTTATTAATATAGCTGGGATTTCGACATTATTCAGACAAATTATCCCGTCTTAAAGTGTCTTATTTTGAAAATACGGATATTGTGCTCGTTTCTCTTCCTGTTGGTGCGAGGTCATCTTTAAAAGTTGACTCCGGTGCTGCTCCGGCGTCCGGCAAAAATAGGATCTGCTCTAATTTTGCCGGATCGCCGTCCTCTCACCGCTGCTCACCGCCGCCCTGCGCAGCCAGTGTAAACACTCTCATTGATTATAATGGGTGCGTACTTGCTGCGGAGGTCGGACCGAAGCGGAGCGGAGATGGAACGCATGTAGTGTAAATTAGGTGTGAGAMTCCGTTTCAAGTTGTGTTAAATTGTGTTGTCAGGGAAAGCAGAACTGGAGTTATAACTACGCCACATTTTATTTTCTTAAAACGACGGTTCAATTTGATGTGTGTCGCATCGTGTTTGTGCTGCGAGCGGGAAACACGGTCCTGAGGGAAAAAAAAAACCTCAATCCACCATCAGTTTCCTACTCCTCTGGAGCTGAAAATATAAAAACCCTCTAATCTTTTTCTGACTGAGGCACAAAGTTATTTGTCAAGCAGCAAAAAATCTACAGGATTAAAAGAAAAAACAGCTCTTAATCTCAACTACTTTGTGCCTGCTGCAGCACCCCGTCCCTGAGCCCCCCAACACACCCGACTTGCGCTCCCCCTTCTCCCTTCAGCGCTCAGTTCTGCGAGATCTCTCACACACGCACACACACACACACACACA